ATTGTTGGGTGGTTTCCATTACAGTTATAGCATTTTACTTCGTTTATCTTTCCTATGTATGAGCAGTTTGTTGTTAGGTGGTTTTCTGCACATTTGACACACGCCGGGTTTCTGTTGCAGTAGTTTTTTGTGTGTCCGTATTGTTGGTCTGGATCTATAACAAATAATACTATATTAATATAGCAAAGAAATATCGTAAATATCGATATCACTTGTAAGGCGATGCCTTTGGGCATAGTGAAATTATGTTGATCAGTTTTTGGATATTAGGTTGAAATTAGATAATAAAGTTATAGATTTACCCGTTTTAAGGGATTGTTCAGGCGCCGTTAATTCACTAGATATGTCGCCCTGAAGCAGGATGTTTAAATTTTAGATTATATATTGTACTGATAGGGAGTATTTTATCGCTACAATTATGAGTTTATTTGATTAAAATATCTAACGTAGTGTCTAGTCACTAAACGAATTAGTAGGTCAGCCGTGAACAATGGCAGTAATTTGTATAATAACAAAGGATAAGCCAAATATAGCAGAATGACTCATCGGCTAGCGGGATTTGTAGATGTATACATTAGGATTGATTGATTCTACTATCGGGAGTGGGTGATCAGTTTCAGATAGTGAAAGCGAAACAACTAATGCGCGTCAACGAAGCAAAGTTCTTTTAACGGACACAGCTAGTGATAACGATAGGTGTAAATCTATAGAAAATGATAATGCAGTAACGATACAAGTGTAATAGCAATTGATGAAGTGAATTTAAGCGGACGTAATAGGAATGAAATATCTCGTTTACGTATAAATATGTTATTTGACAGTCCCCTGTCGCGTGGTCGGCGATCGAAGTGCTGTGATAATGAAAAGCAATCAGAAGAAAACAAAGATGTTAATATCGCAAAGACAGAAGCGAAACATAGAGGCAGACCTAGGAGCACGGTTGAAGTTAAAAAAGGTGAAGATCCAAGAAACATCGTACAAAATAAAATGAATGGATTAGAAGAACAAAGAAAATACAAAAGAAGAAACTGCAGAGACAGTAGTTAATTCAAAAGGTATATCAAATAATAAGTGCGATTTATTTGATACCGAAAGAGCTATTGAAATTAATGATAGCGTTCAAAATATTAAATTTACTGAAGGTAGGAGCCATATTCAAAATGATATGGAAGATGTAGTAGAAGACTCACAAGCACTATCTAAATTAGATAAAAATAAATTATCGACAATATCGAAGTTCCTAAAGATAACTTTAAGGAATTTGAAGAAACCAATGAAATCAGTATCAGTGAACCAATGATTTCTGAACTCCTATTATCGAAAATAATTTATGTGATAATGAAAAGGATAGTGTATCTGAAGTGCAAAAAGTAAATGATGGATCAGTGTTTAAATCCTTGCTTGAGTTATCATCGCTTAAAAGTAATATCAAACGCCAGACAAAATTTAAAAACCTACTCAGTATAAGAACGTACAGCTCATATGTTCGAGTCAGTAACAAAACAAGCGAGAATGGAAGCTGAAGACTATGTAATAAATTTAGATGAAGAACATACAGTTAAAAGAGTAAAATCCAAAGGTACGGATAATGATATATTGCTTGAAAAAGAAAGAACAAGCACCTATGTTGAAAGAAGTTGATAAAATAACAGCAACATGTAGCAACAGACAAGAGAAAATAAGCCAAATTTCTGAAGAAGAAACGATACTCTAGAACTCGAAATTTCTCGAATTGATATGCTAAACAACAAATTTAACGAACAGTTGAAAGGACGTGAAACAGCAATAGAAGACTTAAATAAATTGTTAGAGCATCAATCAGAAATTCATAAAGTTACCTTAAATGAAGCAAGTTTGAAAATTTCTGATTCTGAGAGCGTACTACGGTGTATCGAGAGCCATATAACAAGCTGCATTGTTAAGAGTATTATTCTCTTCACTTTTGAGGGGATATGTCGTGATAGGGTCGGAAGGGAAACTCAGATTTATTGAACGATAAATGTTTATTCACTGTAATGTCAATGAGTACACTTGGCGCAGGACTCGCGATTATATTCGGTTCGCGAATGCGCGGTTATAAGTTAGAGCTCGGATAGCTATGATTCGAGATGCGCTACGAGTGCAGACAATGATTGCACGAGATGTCGAGAGCTTAGATAATTATTCAACTCGAACCGTGTAAGTATAACGATCGTGGTATGTTGACTCGCGGTAATAGACTGACTTTCTTGTCACGATGCTACTGCGGAGGAAGACTGCGTTGGGATGTGTCTAAGGATGCGAAGGCATCGGATTCGTTGAGAAAAGCTTTGGTTCGGAAAGTGAGGGAAATGTACGTTAATGTTTATTGGCTAATTCGTGTTGATCGTTGGAAAAGGATGCTAGCTGCCCTTGAGAGGGTGTTGCTAGTGGGAAGCATCGTACGTGAGAAATAGCAGATTTCTCGTGTGTCCCCGTGGTAGGTGGTCGACTTCGAGACTGATAAACAAAGACTGTTTGTCTCTTTGGAGGACCTTAGCTAAAATAAATTCTAAGATTTATAGCGGTCCTTAGGCTAGCTGGAAATATTCGGTACGAATGTATCGACATCTGGCAATCATCTTGTCCGCAGGTAGAGGGTCTTTGTGTCGTGCGCCCCGCGACGTAAACTGTTGGGAAGTTTACTGTCAAGTGCCGCCACAGTATTATTCTCTTCACTTTTTGTTATTGGCCTATCGCCCTGTTAGTTTCAGATTGGGAGAGTGAGTCCATTCCAATCACAAGGGTTAATAGCATGGAATAAGTTGGAATAGGAGGAATTTACTAAGCGAAAGTTCCCGATAAAATGGCTGTTTGCCAAGTTTTATTTTCGAGACACCATGTTGTTGTACGGGTCGATATATCTCCAGGCGCGATGCTCGAATTCCATTCGCAACCTCGAGTAGAAGTCGCCATATTCCGGACCACTTGCTTGTTGACAGAAATAGAGACTGCGCTAAGTAAGTTCCGTTGTTGTGCTGTTACTTTGGAGATGTTTTTTGAGGATTTCCGAAATTTTCTCGCGGTTCGAATCTATTTCAGATAATGCCTTATAGTGGCAGCTATCTACTTGCCAAGTCGTGTTTCAGGAAAAAACTTGGAAGCACGGGTAATTACTTTGAACTCTGAGTCAGTTGGTCTGATATACCATAGTCGGCTGCACGAAAGTTCCATTATGATATTTTATTTATAAGGAGGACAAGCACTGTTTTCTCTTAAATTTTTTGATTGATTTGAAACATTGTCAAGGAACAAGACATAGTTTAATAATGGATATACAGATGTAGCTTCCTATTGCCTATACGTGGCAGTGTGATATGTTTGGAAATCTTGAATGCTGTGAGCGATGCTCTGTTCTTACCGCCGAGTTATTGGACTCGTCTAGGGGATTGTCGCTCTATTATTTAATGGAGAGGAGCCGGTTCACTGTTGAGCTATGTTGCTGCGGTATAAACGTGAAAATTTCCCCTATAAGTTTAGAGTTTGAGCTTTGTATTGTAGTATTTAGCCATTTCTCCAAGGACAGTGTTAGGGTTATGGTTCATATTTAGCCATCAGATATATCGCGATGAAATAAGGGAATACACAGGTTAGGACAATTATCTAGTTTATTATTCGATGGAATTTTACTGCAAGTAATTTTTGAGTCACTTGTTTCACGCACGAATCGTATTTATTTGTTTCGCTTTTCGTTAATATTCCAAATTCTCCTTTGTCATCGCCTTTCTAATACTAACAATAAGCGTTGAGAGCAACCTTGATGTGAACAGGATGATCAGAATTTTTACACGACATGCAACAAGGTTGATTTGTGTTATCCTCGCTTTCTTCGGTACAGGAATACGTAGGTACAGGTACGGTCAATACGTTCATTTGAATCATAATTTATCGTTGAATTTAACGCTGCGGCAGTCTGTTGCAGTTAGAAGCCACATGGCCTAAACGTTGGCAAGTCTTACATTGCATTTTGTTTGTCAAATCTAATTGCTGGTGAAAGGTCGGAGGCAAAATACTGAAAATCAGCCGAAGATCAGAAATTGAATAAAATTTCAGGCTGGCTTTTGACACTAATCTCATCAGGCCCGGCCACATAACTGGTTTTAAAAGTTGAGAAATCAATTAATCGGAGAATATAAGAATTCATATAAACCCAGATGAACAAAAGAAATAACGATAAATGTACAATTTTAAATTAGATCTTTAAACCAGTCATTTGACTAGCCCTGTAAGGTTAGTGCTTATTAAATAGTTTAGTAGTCGTTGCGCGACATTTTGAATATTCATTCGTATAATAATTAGCGAAATAACTTTCCTTCGTTGATTGCTCCGCCATAATTTATTTTCATTATTTACATCCTTCACTGTACATTTCTTAATTCTCCGTATTCAAGATATTTCTAAGAATAAAAATCATTGGATTGGTCAAAATTTCAGATACTATGTCGTGATAATAAAAATGTTATAGAGAAAATATCAATGGACTTCAAATTTTCAACCGTGAGAAAATTATTCTCTTACCACATTTTTCGCTTAGGAATAAATAACTTTCCTCTTTTATTATTTTTATATTAGTATTAACAGCGAATACGCACTTAAAAAGCACTTAATCCTTCTTCTGCATACTGGGTCATTTCCGACCGGTAATTTTAAGTAATTTTTCATTTTCTGCATGCTGTTGTTTCAATCTTGCTTTCTTTAACGAAATTAAGATTATAAAGTAAGGTAACTAAGGTAATAAGTTAGACAAATGTGTCTGTGATGTTGCCAGTAGGGCTACGAATTATTGTACGATGTTTGTAAATATCGGTGTAGAGAAAGAATCGTGCTGCGCAATTCGAAAGATTCCTGCTGCGTAATTCGAAAGGAAGTGCTCCGTAGAATAGGAATGTTTTTGTTGATATATACATTTCTTTATCTAGTAACGTGTAATCGTTAACTGCGTAGCTGCTTGTGCCACCGGCTCTTGTGTCCCCGTTAGCTGCTTGTGCCACTGGCTCGTGTGTCCCCCCTTCCCTCGCCACTTTGGAAATTGCTATGCGAAACTAAGGTACAAGGAGTCATTTAGTCGTCTCATTTCGTACCGATAACGTGGATCGCGTTGCGTCAGGTTTGTAACGTATTATAACCTATTGGTGGCATCGGTTCTTTATTACTTTCATTAGTGTGTTTTTCGCATTATTCATTACTATATTTTTAACTTCGTAACATATATTTTTTTTGATAGAGGAAACGCGCAAGTAAACTCAAGTACTTCAAAGCAAGATTTCGCGTGCGTTTCTGTAGTATTATTTAAATATATTTAGTTGTGAACTTTCGAATTCTTGCAAATATTTTCAACTGTTTATAACACGGGATTCTAGTGTATTAGTGGAGTGTATATCTCATATTCTAGTAACGAACATTCATAGTATAATTCTTGCAAATGCTCACATTGCATTCATGGTATTCGCAAACATTTGTTCGATATCGAGAAATATCGTGTAATTTTAAATTAATATTTTTCAAACGTAAAAGAAAAGTAGCACTATTTTTTAAATAAACGTTTGATAGAGAAAAGGAGAAAAACATCGAAACTATATTTCGCTTCCTTTCTACTCCCCATCCTACCCCACCCCATCCCACCCCACCCATAAACAACTCTATTTTTAGGGAATATTTGTGACCGCGTGCAATGCGGTTTGTAGAGTCAGTGTTTGCTCCGCAAAAGTATTTTTCAATATTTTCAAATCACGGTCGTTTTGATTAAATCCAATTAAATAATCACACGCGAAAGTAATAAAATTTTATCAAACAATTTTGTACACGACATTAGAGCTCTTGCTTGCCGGTTATAATTTTTGCGGTCATGGTAATGTGGTCTTATTTTATATTCTTTTGAACATTCTTTTTCGGTACTAGAGTCAGTGCATCAAGAGGACAAAGCCTCTGCAAGAGGTCAAGAATGTAAGTAGTTTTACATATTGTATTTCAATTTGTTCTATTTATTATATTTTGTTTGAAATATTGTCAGTTATACAATAAAACGATTGATAATTTAGAATAAATAAAGTCTTAAAATCTTAACATTAAGATACAATAAAACTGTCTGATACGTATAAAAAATCAATGAATGTTTTATTCTCAAACTTTTATATTAGAGTTTCAATTTATATACTTATTAGAGTTTAGTCTTTATTATTGTTAAATTTCCATGTTTGTTATTGTGTATTAACGATATTAATGATATTTTCTATTTTGTAATAGACATATCACAGCTTGAACTTTGTCTTCTTTGGGAATGCTCCAACGGTGGCTCAAAAGCCAAGAA